CTACCTTTTTTGCTAAATGTAAAATACGTTTTTTCAGGTACCTTTCGTTGCACGTTTCAGATGACAAATCCACTAGAGGGCGCTGAAATCTGAAAATAAGTTACTAAGGGTACATTTTGTTGTAAATTTCAGATAGACATACTTCTTGTACACATCTAGGAGAAGGTGGAGCTTGTCGTACTGATCACTTTGCAAAAAAGGCTGACCTAAACCCAACCGATAGTGTTTTCAAAAGCAAATTTAAAAGAAAAGTGCACTTTTGACCATATGTTTTACCCTGATTTTACATTGCTTTTGTAGAAGACTGGAACCTGAGCGCTAAGTACAACAGCATACAAAGTCTTCGCAAGCTGACCATGCCAGAAAAGTTATATATTCATATTATATACATATTTAATCACAAATCATAGATGCTATTAAGTTGTTTTGTGGTATTTATTTGGTGTTAAATGAAATAAAATAAATAAATAAATAAAGATATATGGTAAAAAAAACAAACATAAAGATTATGATAAAAAAAATGACAGCTGTGGTTGCCGGTATTTTACTGTTAAAAATATGGTACATTCGTTCCTAAAGGCTTCATATTGATATCTTAAAGGTACACATTAGTATCACAGCAGTACATTTGTATATATTTTAAAATGATTTAACATATTTAATGTTTATATTTAAAGCTATTTAGTATGCAAAATTTATTCACAATTATAATAATAATTATAATATCATTTTTTAAACACATCTACAATGTTTTTGCATCTATGACAATAATATGTACCTATTAATATCATTAGTGTGAAAAGGTGCATTATTCGTTGACACCACACTGCCCCCTAGTGTTCATTTTACTTTAAACTGATGATGTTGAAGTACATTTTTTTTGCAGATTCACCAACATATAGCCTGAAGCATGTATTTTCAATGAATTGGTGTTGTCTGAAACTGATGTCTGTTATTGGATGTTCAGGTGACTGGCGTTTGAGCTGCCGCACCAATCCTCTGGTCATCCCCGTGAGCCACGACTTAAGCATGGCCTTCTACCACACCAAAGCCATACTCCTCATGTTTCGCTCCGAATTCGTGGCCATTTCTGGGGTCGGCCTGCGCTCCTTTCAGTTCTTCGACCCGATCACCATCAGCGGCTGTCAGAGCAATGAGATATACAACCCTATGGGTCAAAGGTGAGCCATAAGTTTTGGAGTTAAACTTATAGGTATTCACGCAGATCATGTTAAAGTTTATTTTTTGAAACAATTGAAAAACAAACAGCATATGTAAAAACACAAAAACACACTAAACCCATCCCTCAAATGAAACCTGTGGAAAGTTTTGATAGGAAAAGACCTCAATAAAAAAATTTACATGAAAAGACCTCATTAAATATGATTTTTAAGCATTCTGATTTATGAGGACACAAGGCATGAGGACTCTCCATATGCATAATTATTGTATACTGTAAAAAACACTTATTACATTGCCTTACTCTAACCCTAGCCCTAAATCCAACCCTCACAGGAACCTTTTGAATGTGTTAAGCATGATTTGTAAGGATTTTTAGTTATGAGGACTCAAGGCATGGCCTCGTAAACCAACTTAATAGAGTACAACTAGGTCATATCCATGCAATTATACACATTCTTGTCCTTGTTAACCATAAAAAAACAGTACACAAACCGTTTTATGTGGTTTATGAGGACTCTACATTGGCAAATTGAATTTACGCTCTGAAAACCACTAATTACATTGCCTTACCCTTACTGTACCCTTAAACCCAACCTTCACAGGAACCTTTTGAATGTGTTAAGTATGATTTGTTAAGCATTTTTAATTATGAGGACACAAGGCATGCCCTCTTAACCAACTTAATAGAGTACAACTAGGTCATATCCATGCAATTATACACATTTTTGCCCTTGTTGACCACAAAATCCTACAAAATTTAAGTGGTTTATGAGGACTCTCCATAGGCATAATTCATGTTAAATGGCAAAAGCAATTGCATAGCCTTACCCTTACCCTACCCCTAAATCCAACCCTCACATGAACCTTTTGAATGTGTTAAGTATGATTTGTAAGCATTTTTAATTATGAGGACACAAGGCATGCCTTCTTAAACCAACTTAATAGAGTATAACTAGGTCATATCTATGCAATTTTACAATTATTTGTCCTTGTAAACCACCAAAACCAGTACACACACACTTTTTACTTGGTTTATGAAAACTCTCCATATGCATAATTAATTATATACTGTAAAAAACCACTTATTACATTGCCTTAAACTTACCGTACCCCTAAACCCAACCCTTAAAGGAACCTTTTGAATGTGTTAAGCATGATTTATAAGCATTTTTAATTATGAGGTCACAAGGCATGCCTTCTTAAACCAGAGTACAACTAGGTCATATTCATGCAATTATACACATTTTTGTCCTTGTTAACCACTAAAAAAACAGTACACACACAGTTCTATGTGGTTTATGAGGACTCTCCATAGGCATAATTAATTTTATGCTTTGATAACCACTTATCACATCGCCTGACCCTAACCATAGTCTTAAACCCAACCCTCACAAGAACCGTTTGAATGTGTTAAGTATGATTTATAAGCATTTGTAATTATGAGGACACAAGGCATACCTTTGTAAACCAGCTTAATAAAGTAAAACTAGGTCACATCCATGCAATTATACAATTGTTTGTCCCTGTAAACCATCAAAACCAGTACACACACACACTTTTTTATTTGGTTTATGAAGACTCTCCATATGCATAATTAATTGTATACTTTAAAAACCACTTATTACATTGCCTTACGCTTACCGTACCCCTAAACCCAACCCTTACAGGAACCTTTTGAATGTGTTAACCATGACTTGTAAGCATTTTTAATTATGAGGTCACAATGCATGCACTTATAAATCACCTTGAAAGAGTACAAATAGGTCATATCCATGCAATTATACAATTTTTGTCCTGGCAAACCACCAAAACCAGTACACAGCTGACCTTTAAGGAGTTATGGTTGATGAGCCCAACTGAATGTAGTAGTTGTGGTGAAGTGTTCGGTTTGGGTCTTGGCAGGGTTTAGCTGTCTGTCATCTGCAGTCGGATCATCAGGCTGGAATGAAATGTAGAATTGAGTGTCATCAGCATAAAAGTGATAGGAAATTGATGATGGCATGTAAGACATGGAAGAGAACTGACCCCAACACCGAGCCTTGAGGTACACCAGAGACATTACAAGAAGCCAGAACGCCAGTCACATTTCACCCCAGACCTCTAAGACATAACTAACAGGTAGTTAAATCACTGGAGTAGAGAGATCCTGAGATAATTTGTTATGTTATCAATTTGTCATGACATTTGCAATGAGGGTTGAGGTCAGTCTCGAATAAATGAAGGCAGTTTTGTCAGCCAAACCAGTTCTGAGTTCAGACAGAGCAGAGTTTACTACTGCTAGTATTTCAAATCTTATTTTAATGTGACATTTTTAAACAACAAATATTGTTCATATCTCTTTAAAACGGCACAATCATAAATTTGACTTCTTTTTTTATTCAGATAAACACGGGGGTCAAACAGCAGCTTGCTTTAAGATGACATGAAACAATGTAGTGATTCCAAGCACAAGAATCACAAGCTTGTTTTTCATGTTGACTGTGTGTCTGAAACCTTACACCGAACTTCTTGCTCACTGAAAAGTCCCACACCTCGTGTTTGCCCCTCTGACCACCGCCAGATCTGCCAGCTTTCTACTTGGTCAGCTAAGAGCTAAAAAAAAAAAGCCAGCTCTGCATTTACAAACTGACTCTAGTACAGATTTATTTTCCCTTCCCACTGGCTTTTTTCCTTTCACTTTTCTGAGTGTACAGTTTAGCTCTCAATTTGTCCAGCGTGGTTCATCTGGCCTCAGAAATTCTACTCAAGAAGAGCAGGGTATTGGATAGTTTGAGCAAGTGTAGCAGAGGCCAGCTAGTAAGTGCTGTGCAGGTAAACCTCACTCCTCTGACCTCTAAACGTGTCTAGCGGCAAACGCTAGAGGCCATGGTCTTTAGCCTCCTTGGTAGAGCAACCGACTCCCATGCTGAAAGTCGCCGGTTTGATCCCAGCTCAAAGCGGCTTAGGTGGTGTTGGACCAGCGGATGTTACATTGGTGCCGTGACCCGGATGGGAGTGAGTTTTAGGGGGGTGAGTGTAACGGAGGCCAGCTAGTAAGTGCTGTGCTGGTAAACCTCCCTCCTCTGACCTAAAGGTGCTATAGCCAGTGGCGTAGCGGGGGGGCCCGCGTGATTAGGGGGCCCCGCGTCGTCGCGATTTTCAATAATTGAAAATACACCGGCAACCGCAATAATCAAACTCTTGGGAAAATCTGTGGTCGGAACCAAAGTTTACAGGTCTGTGTTCTCTGAACACCTCTCAAGCGGTGAACTACTTCATTCTGATTGCTTGCCGCCAATGTTGCCAACTTAGCGACTTTGTCACTAGATTTAGCGACTTTTCAGACCCCCCTAGCGACAAATCTAGCGACTTTTTTGTGTGTTATTGGAGATTTTTTTAGACTGTCATTTGTCCATACTGTACCGTCCCTACTCTTCTCAATGAGCTGTGTGTAATGCCGCCGGCCCCTCCCCCGCCTCACAGCACTGACAGGCGGCCCAGTCAGTCCTCTACAGCAGCCTCTCCCACCTGCAGCCCGAGAGCAGATCACCCCTCTGCGTACCGACGACAAATGATTTAGCACAGGCAGTGTGAAGGTATTTCCCTTGTACAGTCAAACCATTCTACTTCTACTTTATTTTAACAATTTAATTGGACCGTTTATTCTTTTCTTGTTCACAATCACAGATATTTTAGTGACAGTTTCTGAATTTTTCTGAGTTATGAGAGATTACTGCACATTCACTACACATCTATAATGACATACTGTATTCAAACAGCAATAAATGTAGTTAAATAAACATGCTTATATAAAGTGTAGTGCAATTATAAATGCCCCTTTATTAACCATAGGCTGTTAAACAAACAGAAACGGTAAAACGTGATGACGTCAGTGATATGCAAATTGGCGTATGACGTATCCCCCCCCCCCTTCATCAGGGGGCCCCGTCAGCGATCCCTGCAGGGGGGCCTCCATATTTTGCGCTACGCCACTGGCTATAGCCACAGAAGCTAGAGGCCATGGTCTTTAGCATCCTTGTTAGAGCAGCCGACTCCCATGCAGAAGGTCGCCGGGTCGATCCCAGCTCAGAGTGGTTTGGGTGGCGTAGGACCGGTGAGGGTTACACAAACATGCACCACTAATGCCATTTCTCCATGTCACATCTCAAATGCATAGACGAATGAATGACTTATTTTTTATTTATTATTATTTTCTCTTCGAATAATCTGATAATTATCTGACTTCTCAATCTGAATGGACTTGATTTGTACTGTCTGATCTATTTTCAGATGTGATTTTGCTTTGACCTTTTGTTCTCTGATTGGTTCGGATGTTTTCAGCTGTGTTCATTACTCCTGTGAAGCCATCGACTGTCAGGAGCCGCTGATCCGAAATGCAGAAGTTGAATGCAGTGACGGCGGATACTTTAATGGCGCTCGCTGTACTGTCGTCTGCAACTGCGGATACGTGCTGCAGATACACCGAGACGACGATATCATCAAGAGCCAGGTACTGAATTCAGTCTTAAGCTGCAGTCACACCTTTGACTTCCATTCATACACATCAGAAATGCAAGCACAATGGACAATCTTCACATATCACTGCATTTGAAAGTTCAAGTTTAGTGACCTCTGACCTGCGTAAATTGCATCATGTGAATGTGTGAGGTCATTGTAGATCAAAAAATGAATCTATAAGAGAGAATTCTGCAAGCTCAAACTCTAGTGTGACCATGACTTAAAGCTGCTCAAACACTGAGGGAGAAACACTGCATGTGGAGATCTGTAGCTTCAACCAGCGTTATTTTAATATCAGTTAAATACTAATTGTTTTATATTTATTATTAGCTTTATTTTTATTTTGTGCATTTTTATGTTGTCATTTTATGTACAATTTTATGCATATTTTTATTTATTGAATTTGATTTGAAATTTAGTATCGTTACCGTATGTAATCATTTGTTTGCATTTTTTGGACCTATTTGATTTCAGGTTTAGTAATTTTGCAGAAGGTAATTTTTATTGTTAATGGGTCCAGAACTTCTACTGTGTATATTTTTATGTGTCTATTTATTTTAATTAATGATTATATCTCTTTATAATGATCTTTAAAATGCTTTGCTCCCTAAATAAAAAGTAGGCTTTATTTTATTTTATTTTATTTTATTTTATTTTATTTTATTTTATTTTATTTTATTTTATTTTATTTTATTTTATTTTATTTTATTTTATTTAATTTTTTGTTTGTTTTTTGTTTGTTTTTATTTAATTTGTATTTTATTTTCATTCATTCATTCATTCATTCATTCATTCATTCATTCATTCATTCATTCATTTTCTTGTCGGCTTAGTCCCTTTATTAATCCGGGGTCGCCACAGCAGAATGAACCGCCAACTTATCCAGCAAGTTTTTTCGCATCGGATGCCCTTCCAGCTGCAACCCACAACCCATCTCTGGGAAACATCATGTACCTTTTCATGTACTTTAATTTATTTTTAATTATTTTTTTATTTAAAATATTTTATTATATTTATTTTATTATATTTATTTTATTTTATTTATATTATTTTTCATTATTTTTATTTAGATTTCTTAAATTTATTTTGAATTTCATAAAATTTTTCTTTTTACATTTTATTTTATTTTTAAATAGTTTTTTTTATCATTTTCTATTGGTTTATTTTATTTTTTATTTAATTTAATTTAATTTTTTTATTAATTTTTATTTTATTTTTAATTGTTTTTCATTTTTATTTAATTAGTTTTGAATTTTGTTTAATTTAATCTGTTTTTTATTTTTATTTTATTTTATTGTTTTGTTAATTTAATTTAGTTTATTTGTAATTATTTTTTATTTGATTTTTCTAAACATATTTTTATCTGAATTTTTCATTTTTATTTTATTTTATTTAAAAAAAAGTTTTTTTATGTATTTTATTTTATTATTTATTTATTTTTGTTTATTTTTAATTTTATTAAATGTTATTAAATATTTAATATATATATATATATTATTATTATTATTATTATTATTATTATTATTATTATTATTATTATTATTATTATTATTATTATTATTATTATTATTATTATTATTTAAATTTTATTCAGGGCATGTGTAGATCTTCCAACTGATTTTAGGTCTCTCTCTAATAAATTTTACAGTGCCAATACTGCACATGCAAATACTGTGTGGGCCACAGTTTGCCAGCTCTCATTGAAACCAGTTGCTGTATTCCTACAAATAGCTGTCATTAAGAATGCAAAGTTACATTTTGCCAAAAGAGCAAGGAACATTGTGTTTCCCTTATTGAGTCCCCTTTGGGTTTCATGGGTTGTCTTCGCAGTGATGTAACAGTGTGATCAAACATTGCCCAGAGCGATACGATCACACCCTGCCGTTTGATTTCTGCATTCCTGGTCTCAGCAGCGTTTATGATATGACAAGGTCATGCAACAGAATGTCAGTACAGTGTGTTTCTGTGGCATCAGCATGAGAGCAAGGACAATGGTGTCAAGTTGCATCTTGTCGAGCTTCATTAGAAAGTGCACTTGCTTCAGTTGTGTCACGAGGCTTCCAGGAAATCTGCCTTTTATGCTGCTCTTATCTTCAAAAATGATCAGTTCTCTCCACTTGTTTGTGTGTGTGTGTGTGTGTGTGTGTGTGTGTGTGTCTATGTGTTTGTTTTCATCGTGCAAACACTACGCTCAGATGTTTAATGGATAACCCATGTGAAATCTGGTCAAATTGCTGCTCTTTTACTGCAACAACATTCAATGCATCAGTTCTGGTCAACATTTTTTTTTCTCCTAGACAATTAGTCTGCTAAGTTTATCACCTCTGCTTGCCAACGTGACGTCTGAAGAGGTGCTACAGTTGGCACCATTGAATTGTTTAGATGCAGCTACATCTGGCATAATGAGAATCAATAAAGATGTGTTACCATCATAGGAAAATACATCTGTCTGTCTGATGTCTGATCTTAATTTAATGTCTGTTTTATCTGTGTTGGTCTGATCTTTATCTGTCTGTCTGATGTTTGTCTGTCTGATCTCTATTTGATATCTGTCTGATGTCACTGTCTGATTTGTATCTGTCTGTTTGCTTGATTTCTATTTGTTTGATCTCTGTCAGTCTGATCTCTATGTCTGTCTGTCTGTCTGTCTGTCTCTATGTGATTTCTATTTCTCCGACTCTCTGAGCTCTATCTGGTGTCTGTCTGGTGTCTATGTGTCTGATCTATGCCTGTCTGTCTGTCTGTCTGTCTGATGTCTCTCCATCTGATCTATGTCTGACTGATCTTTATATGTCTGTCTGTCTGATGTCTTTCTGTCTGTCTGTCTTTCTGTCTGATCTCTATCTGATGTCTGTCTGATGTCTGTTTGTCTGACTGATCTTTATTTATTTGTCTGTCTGCCTGATGTCTTTTTGTCCGTCTTTTTGTCTGATCTCTATCTGATGTCAGTCTGTATTGGATGTCTGTCTGATGTCTCTATCTGATCTCTGTCTGCCTGTCTGTCAGTTTGATTTCTGTCTGTTTGATTTCTGTCTGTCTGTCTGTCCGTCTGTCTGTATCTAAACTCTGTCTGTCTGCATGTCTGTCTGTCTGTCTGATCTCTATCTATCTGTCTGTCTGACTTTCTGGTTTCTATCTGATGTCTGTTTGTATGATCTACATCTGTCTATCTGATCTTTTTATGTCTGCTGTCTGTCTGTCTGATATCTATTTGATTTTTGTCTGATTTATGTCTGTTTGAACTTTGACTGATGTCTGTCTGTCTGATCTCTATTTGATGTCTGACTGATGTCTCTGTCTGATCTCTGTCTGTTTGATTTCTGTCTTTCTGTCTGTCTGTCTCTCTGATCTCTTGGTCTGTCAGTCGGCTCTCTATTTGTCTGTCTGATGTCTGTTTCTGTCTGATCTCTATCTGTCTGTTTGTATGATATATATATATATATATATATATATATCTGTCTCACTGTTCAATCTCTATTTGATGTATGTCTGATCTGTCTGTCTGTCTGTCTGTCTTTCTCTCTCTCTCTCTGTGTGTATGTGTGTCAGTCAGTCTGTCTGTCTGATATCTGCCTGTCTGTCTGTCTGATCTCAAGCTGATGTCTCTCTGTTCAATCTCTATTTGATGTCTGTCTGATCTATGTCTCTCTAATCTTTGTTGGTTTGTCAGTCGGATGGTTGTCTGTCTGATGTCTGTTTCTGTCTCTCTCTCTCTCTCTCTCTGTCTGTCTGTCTGTCTGTCTGATTTATATCTGATATCTGTCTGATATCTATCTGTCTATCTGATCTCTGTCTGTCCGTCTGTCTGTCTGATGTCTGTTTTATGTGATTTCTATCTCTGACTGTCTGATCTCTATCTGATGTCTGTCTGATGTCTGTTTGTGTGATCTATGTCTGTCTGATATTTATATTTCGGTCTTGCTGATGTCTGTCTGTCTGTCTGTCTGTCTTTCTTTCTAATCTCTGTCTGTCAGTCTGATCTCTATTTTGGTCTCTCTGTCTGTCTGTCTGTCTGACTGCCTCTCTCAGTGTTGTGATAGCTGTGTTTAATTAGGCACAGTAGCCCAAATGAGGTGAACCAAGCCTCTATAAATTTGTACAAAAGAAGGCCCCCCCTAGCCATAAACCTTTTTCTCCTTTATACCTCTCCAACTGTGCGATTATTGGCAGCAGCCCAGTGTTGTAAATGTGTTTGTTATGGGCTTGTTTGTGTTTATTATTGTGTGTCAGTATGTGTTTACAACGTTTTGGGAAGAAACTGTTCACTAATGGGCACTAAAGCACTTGATAGCATTTTTTTCCATTGGCTGATGGGATACTGCATACAATCTTCAACCATATAATCTGTGTTCATCATGATATCTTTATAAATATTTAGTTAATCCTGTGCAAGGGCGAAGCAGTGGCGCAGTAGGTAGTGCTGTCGCTGGGTCGCTGGTTCAAACCTCGGCTCAGTTGGCGTTTCTGTGTGGAGTTTGCATGTTCTCCCTGCGTTTGCGTGGATTTCCTCCGGATGCTCCGGTTTCCCCCAAAGACATGCTGCAGGTGAATTGGGTAGGCTAAATTGTCCGTAGTGTAGGAGGGTGACAGGCCCTGACCACAGGCCAGCCGGAATGTGTAAATAAGTCGTTATCATATGGATAGTCTAAATGGAGGACTTGTTCCACAGAGCCGACCCCGCAACCATACAGGACTAAGGCCAAAGAAGAAGAAGAAGAGTTAATCCTGTGCAAATAGTTACAGATCGATTAGTAACTGTATAGACATTTCTCATCCGCTTCAAATAATTATAAAATTATGATGTCATTCATTCATTCATTTTCTTTTCGGCTTAGACCCTTTATAATTCTGGGGTCGCCACAGTGGAATGAACCATCAATTTATCCAGCATATGTTTTTTACGCAGCGGATGCCCTTCAATGGGAAACATCCATACACACACATACACTACGGACAATTTAGCCCACCCAATTCCCCTATAGCCCATGTGTT